TTCCTCAGTTTTAAAACAAGCAACAAAAAAGATATTATTAAGGCGTCATTTGAATGTTTAGGGCTCATGTTTATATGAAAAGTAATTTTTCATAAAAATAATTTTTAAATCAGTTCAATTTTAGGAAATGTTTTCCATATTTCAATTGACTTATCTGAAAATTGATTTTTTAATGTTAATAATATGAATTAATATTTAAATACTGAAGTACAGGATAATAATCTTTGGTTTTCTCCAGCTGCAAGACAGTTCTAGGTTGTAAAACATACAGATAATTGCAGTATGTTACTGAGAGTAAAATTACTAGTATAAGCCTTTTCATAAAGTTTGAAAAAACATTTTCAATTCATGCTAGCCCATGAAAAGATCACAGGACTGGTATCACACCAGTCCAACATCAGTGGTCTGACATCAACTCTGAAAAATTGTGGAATACTCACTTTATGCTAACACTAGCTAAACGAAGGAGCATTTTCTTTTGATTAAAAAAATAAATTGCGGTCACAATTCTATAAATTATATCCAGTCTACAGTGTGCTGAACGTCTTGACTTCAGTCCAGCAAAAGCTGTCCCTCACGTCTGTATGAATAGTGCCAATCTAGGCAGCAGAACTTCTCTTCTATGTCAAATTAAGCACATTCGCATAGGTTTTGCAGGATTGGGATCCTCACGGGAAAAATTATATGATGTAAACTATTTTAGTTGATTAAATAAAACATAATCCTTTTTCTCTTACACTTATGTATAGATTTCCAGTCCCTTATGAAAGAATGGAAAAACATCTAGGACAATAAAAGCTTTTCAGCCAGCAGCTAGAAAACGAATTGTAGCACAGATGTCTAACAGTATTCTGTGCTTCTCCAAAATGACTATTTTTATGGCGTCAGGTTCTGAGTATATTAGGCCTAATGATATCTGAAGTTTCCTGCTTGTTTCACACACTGTTGCTGAGATGCGTTGTCCATTTATAAATTTTATTACTATTTTCTTACTTTAAAAAAAAGTACATTTTTGTCCTGTGCTGTTTTTCCACTGAACCCAATGAAGCACTGCAGTGCTGATGAATCAGTTATGTTAGAGGATGAGCTCAGACCTCAACTTTTATATTTCACAGAACAGGCTGTCAGCATTTTATGTAATTTCTATTTTGGGGACAGAGCAGAGGGAGGCAGAAGAGGGGAGTGATGGAGAAACCATACCAATGAAGCAGAACACCTTGTTGAAATTAAGTCCCCAAATTACTCCTGTCAGTTTTATTTTAATAATTTACAGTTACCTCAAAGCAGTAGATTACATCGTAAAAGTCTTGTTCCTTTAGCAGTTAGAGTAAAGAAAATAAAGCAGTAGGTGTTTCCTTCACCTTAGATTTAATAAAGATATTAAAGACCTAACTAAGCTGCAACTGAAATTCATGTTACATGGTGGATCCTAAAGTGCTACCACAACCTGTCTTTTATCTCCAGACATTACATTTCATTCACCTGTCTGTTACAGCATCATGTACTTGGGACCTGAGCCGACAACTTGCAGCTGCCTGTGATTTGATGCCTCTCAGCAGCAGACCCTTCTTGTTTCATCTCTTTTTTGCGGCTCGTGGCTGAGAAGCGTGAGCAGTATCTTACAGCTGAATGGGTACTAGAAATTTTAAGAAGTTTTGGCTGTGTACCTGTTCTTTGCTAGTACCTTTTATCAGTGTTTGTTTTAATTTATTTCTCTTTTGTTGGTCTGTTATTGTATTTGTATAATAAGTTATGTAGTTAATATTATTAGTTTTCTGTTTTAATTTTTATGTGCTTTGATTTTTTTAAAAATATAATCAACCCAAGCACTTTAAGCAACAATGTCACTCTTGTGAAATTCCAATCAGCTTAACATTTTGCCTTTGTCTTTTTGCTTTTGCAGCTGTTTGCTTGTGATCTAAAGTCTCCAGTTGCAGCCCAATTTCCATTTTTAGGCTTCTAGTCCTAGTTGGAGTGTAAATTTGGGAAGCGCAAATTTGTTCATACGTAACAAGGATGCAGTATTTGCTACGTCTGCTACACCTAGCAGTACGTACCTGACGAGTTGCACTCACGGTGCGCATTTCATCACCTTTTTTGCACTCTACCTGCTAACCCGTCTGAGAACGACTGTAATACTTTAATCTGTGGCACAGTTATCAATGACTATAACTTAGAAAAGCTCCACTTCTCACAGGAGAATTCTCTTTTACCAAACACAGAGTTAGCTGTCAATCAGCTGATGATACAGGTATTGCTCTCTCTGCCATTTTATCTATGCTCTGTACAGTCTCAAGTATGAACAATTTTAAGAAGAGCTGCATTTATTCTTGGCCCTTGTGTGAGTGCTAGCAAGGAGAGCGGTCTTTTTGCATCTTCCTTCTCTCCACTTGGGCTCGTATAAAGGGAAGAGATAATGAAGTAGGACAAGTGCTGGTGTAAAAAAACCACACCGTCCATCAAAGATACAGGATGTTTCTTAGAGGCCAGTATCTATGGTATCCATATCAGAGTCACTGACTTTCTGTGTTGTTAACACAAGGGTTATTCTTAGTTTTTTAGACATCGTATTCTCTTTGATCAACGAAAAGACCAGGGTTTTTCCTGTTGCATCAGTTCTGTTGCTGAGGTATTTCTTCGCAATTTAACGTGGCACTTAATATTTAAATAGCCCTTAGGAAGCCTCAGTAGACACCCTTTTAATTTCCTTCCAGTTAACATGCATCACTTCAAAGAGATTTCCTGAACCTGTCCACAAGACT